TTTTTTCATGAAGAGTTTTCTAAAAAAGGTTTTTAAAAGAAAGATTCCAAAGGGCACAGAAGAAATAAGAAAATCTTTTTCCTTACAATAAATTATAAAATAAATCATAATGTCTTATATTTCTGCAACAAAATGCATATTATATTTGTATATATATATATCGGTATATCACTGCACCATTCCTTTCGAGCAACACAGGGATTAATTTAATGTATTTTTCACAGTAGAAAAATAAATAGTTTAAGGAACATAAGCAAGTGCCTCAGTTCTAATTTAATGATAAACTTTAATAAGTATTTTTTTAATGTTAGCAGATATTATGACCAGTTCTTAGATCATGAACTGCAACACTATTTATTTTTAATCCACTTTGAAACAGTTACAGTTAAGTTAATTATCAATAAGACATTTTAATAGAAATCCAAATACAGTCAATAACACTACCTTGCATACTCATAAAAATAAGAAACCCATAAATTTAAACTTCTGGATAGAATATATATGATTTCTCCTAAATGATAGTCAGTATCTATGTAGAATTATTCTACAAAAATTATCATTTGAGATTTTCTAATTAAAATGATGACTTTAAAAGATTTTCCAAATTGTTGAATTCTTTTCAGTCTTAAAATGAGCATCAGACCTAAAAAGGTATATGCTATTTCAATTAATCTTAAATATCTATGGCAAACTGCTTCCAAAATGTTGCCAAGAAAACTGCATGGACTTCTCCACACTGTTGCTAAAAATTCAGACTATCTGAAAGGCACTATACAGAGACACAGAGAGTATTTTAAGGAATAAGTCATATTACTTTAAAACTTAATTAAGTGAGAAAGTGTTTACTGATGCCAATGTATTCAGCATAACTGTCTGTTCCATCATAAATAAAATATCAACACTGGAGTGTAGAAATCTCACAGATACCACAGTGTTTTTTTCAAGACTGTAGGATATTACAGAAAAATCATAAGATGAAAAAAAATGAAAATGATATTGCTGCAATTGTGTAGTGTCACATATTTCAGCATTTTATTTATTTATTTAAAATTTTTATATTGCTGCCTACTCTCACATGGCAACTCAAGGTGGCTTACAGGAAATGAAAACACAATATAAAAGAAAATAATAATAAAAATAATAAAACAACCCCCACCCACCATCCCAGCGACAACACACATTTATACCAGCCATTTAATGCAGAGTTACAATTATTTTTGAAAAGACATAATTCTAAAGCCCTATGCTTGCATCAACTTGCTGTCACTATTTGAGAGTGTAAGTGTGCAGATCTAGTAAGTTTGTTTGTAATTTCCACAAACCTGCAGGCATAATACCAACTGCAAGTTGGCTAGTAAAAGAGGGAAAGCAAAGGAACACATTATTTTTAGGATAAGAAGCATTTCAGCTCATGTCATACCATACAAACTAAAATGCTTTGCACAGGTAATAGCTGAAACAAGCAGAGATGTATATGGATATATACTGTTCTTACCCAATAGAGATAACAAACCAAAAGGTCAAAAATATTGTATTGCAAGCCCATACATAATTCAGTGCTTTCAGATACCTGAATAAACTGATGCTGAAAACACCATGGGAGCTACAGTGTTTATTCATTGCTGCTTCATGTTCAGTTTATCTATAACAAAAGAAATTTATGACCTTACCACTGAGCTACCTTAGGGAAAAAAAGTAGGTGCCAGAAATCAGGAAGATCCAGAGCCAAAGGGATCATACTACTAAACTTACAAAGGTTCACTATTGCCGATTAAATGAAAAGAGACTCAAAGCTTAATGCAGAGGGAAACAAATCTTTTTAAAGGTTTGAAAGTCTCAGATAACTACCCTGCCATTGTTTTACATTTTTTCATGCCTCTACACTTCCTGGTTCTGCCTGAGACCAGATGTGCCAAAATACTTTAATAAAGAGTGTTGTCATAGCTCAGCAAGAAGCAGGAAACATAGGTAATCTTGTAAGCAGAAATAAAATCCCCAAATTTAAAACATCTGCATATATTTTCATTAGACCTAACATCTATAACATAGCCACTTTGCCTATTAATCCATCTATCTAACATCTATCTATCTATGACCTATCATGAATAAAACTGATGATTTCACTAGCATAACATGCCTGCAATTTCAATATTTATTACAGCATGCTGTTTTCCAAAGCTATGTTAAAGAGTAGGTGCAAAAAAGTACCACATATTTTTCCTATTTTCAACACAAGATAGATAGCATAGACACATTATTTACTCTAAACTATTTATGTTCAAAATTATGGAATAGAGATAATCAGTTTTGGGGGGAGGGGAAAGGGAGGGTTGAAATACAACACAAAAGACCTCTCTGTCAAATAAAAAGTCTCTGTAATCCAGTATTCTGCATCATAGAGCCAACACATGTTTTTCAATGGTACTTAAGCAGAACATAAAGCTGTAGCTCCATTCTAATGTTCTTCCTGACCATAGTGCAGGGGTCTTCAAACTTGGCCCTTTTATGACTTGTGGACTTCAACTCCCACAACTCCCTTCAACGCTGGCTGAAGAATTCTGGGAGTTGAAGGAGTTAAAAGGGCCAAATTTGAAGACCCCTGCCATAGTGCTTCTGAAATTTATTGGCTGTAGCTACAATAACACGTAAGCACTAAAACCTCTACCTTTCATGAATCTGTTGAACTCATCCTAAAGTCAGCTAAGTAGTGACTATCACCATAATTACAAGTAGTGAAACCTATAGGTTATATTGCTTATCTGAAACTGCTCAAAATATTACTCCTTGTAATATATCCTAATTAAAGGGAATAGCATGACACATAGCAATAGTTCAGACATGTTCAATTGGAATCCTAATCCTTGATGCTATACCAGAAACTGCTTTTTGTAAGATCCCTGTTTCAAAATCAATTTTATGGGTCGAGTGAGGAACTACTACTCAAAACAGTAAAACTTAGAAGTCATACTTGATACACAGTGGAGCTGACCAAATCCCTGAAATGTTAACATTTAACAATTAAATTAAGACATTTATGGTCAATTATAATAGTTTGCAATTATTAAAACATATGGATGTATATTCCATTTTGATTAGGAAAAACTATAAGCTAATGGGTACAGGATCAAGATAGAATACTCTTTCAGCTAAACTTGGGCTAAATTATATATTGTATATTCAGAACACAGACACAGAATTTCATATATGCACTTGGTCAAGTTATCTTGTATTGAAATATGTTTATGTTTGTGTGTGTGCAACATGAAACATTAACATACTGGCAACACTTGAAAATAGTATTTATTTTAAATATTTAAGATACAAAGTAATATTTTATGTTAACTTGCTAATGTATCATTGAGTAGTTTCTTTCATAAATAAAATTGGAATATAGGACAGATGTTTGAGAAACCACATTTAGTGGTTGCACACACTAATTTCAAGTAATATCAGCTCATCTATTAAATAAGGTACATTTTGTTAGCTTTGGGGAAAAAGAAACATCAGGGAATATTTAAAGGGCAATTGTTGCCAATTAACTTTGATCAACAAAAGTTGTATGTGAATTTTCAGGATTCTTTTGCCTGCCTAGAATAATGTATATTTATATTTTCTAACAAAATAATACTGTGATGATTAATGCTTATTGGCAACGCTCCCCAAGCTTGTTTAGTGGTTCGGTTTTAAATAAACAGCTGCCTTTATTATGACAGAAGCAAAATTTGACTGTCTTACCTGTGTTTGAAATTTTAATGAAAATATCCAAAAGTCTGTTTTTCCATTGTTAAATGAAAGAAACACACAAGTTGGAAACTACTATTCATAACCAAGGAAGTTCTTTTAGAGAGGAAAAAAGTATTAAAACCAAAATTTTTAAGCTTTTGATATGGTTCTAGAAAGTTTGACATTACAACTAACTGCTAGAATTTCCTACGGTTCATGCAAAAGGCCTACTTATGTTTATTATTTACATAAACATTGTGAGCTGAAACATTTATCATCATAACTACAAAAGTATGAACCGGTTACTCAAGTTTCATTGTGCTCTTACTGTGCTATTGATAACAAATATGTTCTTGTTTTGTTGTTTTCCTAATCTTGTGTTAGCAATCCAGACGTGCAATTGTGAGATGGATGGCAATATAAAACAATGTAATAAATAAAATAAATTTTGCAACAAACACACCATTCACAAGATACATGACAAAAAAATAATAAGCATAGTATAGAATTGGGGAAGACAGAAACCCCAGTTTCTTACAGGCATTTAACATATGCAGTACTACTGAATTCACGTAATTTCAACAGTTTCTCACTCTGATTTGTATTAGAGCAAATGACCTAGGCAAATTAATTTAAGTAATTATTAGGCAGATAGCATGCTTTCTTAATAACTATCATATGGTTACATTTTAATGTTTAAAATTTAGTCAAAATATTAATATCTTAATGACACTAAAGAAAATTATGATGAACATTAAAATTTCCAGAAGTTTTGCAGATATTTTAAGCATTAAGCCCAGAAGTAATAAATGATAAATTTATATTTTTGAAAGAATATATATACATACAACAGTAGATAAAGTTTAAATTTCTTTAAGTGTATAATACAATTGGTTGAGTGGTTTGGGTAGACATAATGAGAAAGAGGAGCCACAGGAACAAACTGTGTAAATATTGTAGGGAAGGAATTATTTGTGGAGAAATACCAATACGAAGGAACAAAAGAATTGTATCTATCTCAACCTATGCCAGGAATCCAATAGACAGCTACTTGAAACCAATGACAAATAGTGGGTAGCATATTAGTTAGCTACACCTAGAAGCAGACAGCTGATTACCATGAAATTAGTATAAATAAACTGATAAAGAAGGACTCCAGAGCACTAATTTTGCCAATGTAAGTCTTCTCTTCAGTCCTTTCATAGAAAGTAGTGGTCACTTGGCCATTATTTAGTCTTTCAAAAATTCTGTGTGCCATTCAAATAATAATTACTTACTTCTAAATCATTAAAGAACAGATGCGTATCTGCCAAGTTGAAAATCATCTCCTCCATCCTTAATCCCAGTGAAACAGAAGTAGGGGGGTCCTCATAAAAGAAAAGAAAGAAAAAAAATTAGACTTATCAGAGAAAAGAAGATAAATTGTTATGGTTTAAATGCCTTGAGAGGGGAGGAATACTTTTATGGGCTCAAAACAGTGTTAGAATATGAAAATCAGTGAAGTCACTGTAAAGCATTGATTTTTTCTTCTTTTTATCAAAGATGTTTTGACTGAGTAGGCCAACAAAAAACTCATCTGGAAGTTCTAAAGTTGGAAACTGATTTTGTAGACATTGTTATATCAGAAGCATATTTTATGTAATATGCCTTAAGATACAGCGTTTCAAGACCTCTTGTTTGGAACTATGCAGATGGCACAGGTTGTTAATCCTCTATATGCAATTTTAGAAAAATTGTGACAATGGAAGACCCAAAAACAATATACTGTAGGTAGTCCATACTCAACAACTATTTATTTAGTGACTGTTTGAAATAACAATGGCACTGAAAAAAATAATGTATCACCAGTCCTTTCACTGATGACTGTCACAACATCACAGTGACTGTGATTTGGATGCTTGGTAACTGTCATGCATTTATGACGGTTGCAGCATCTATGGTCATGTGATCGCCATTTGTGATCTTTCCAGATGATTTCCAACAATCAAAGTCAATGGGGAAGAAAAGGTTGCAAGTAGTGGTCATGTAATGTTGAGTTTAACAACCATAGTGAATCATTTAATGACCGTGTCAAAAAAGATCATAAAATTGAGGGTGGTTATGTGCTATCTTATTTAATAACCATACCATTTGAATTTTCTAGTCCCAATTGTGATCATAAGTCAAGGACTACCTACAGTAGTCTACTACCTACAGTAGTAGAAAACACTGAAATAACAATTGGAAATATAGAAGGACTAGTTGATATAAACAATAAAAATGATAACTTAGAAAATGGTTGTCTAATTTTTGGCTTGCCTGGGCCACATCAAGTGAAGAGGAATTGTCTTGGGATGCATTTTAATATTTAATATAATCAATGTATGTAAAGAACAAATTTTATTTGTTTATATTTTTTATGATCTTATGGGGTCATATTATAGTTGTCCAAGGCTGTATGCGCCCCATGGGCCAAAAGTTGTACAAGACTTAGAACAAGTAATAACAAAAGAACTAGTACAAAACTGACTTTTTGACAAGAAGAATCAAAAGAAAAAATTACAGCATATGCACAATCACCAGTAGGAAGACAAACTGCTAGCACAAGAAAGTGGTGCCCCCCCAAAAATTTTTTTGTGGCACCTATAATGAAAGATGAGTATAAGATGTTTGCAAGGATCAAAATAACATCTATCAAACAGACCAATCAGCTTGCCCATAGTATAGCAGTGGTAGTTACAAAAACTGAGTACCAACATTAGAAAAATCAAAAATATTCATATTCAATCCCAAAGTAAAGATAAGATTGGAGGCCAAGACACAGAAATTAACATCAGATGCAAGTAATTTAAAGAATATGAAAGAGCAAAAAGTGAAGAATGTAAAGATCAAGGTAAGCCTGAGGCAGCTTTCAAAATAACAAAGCAACAAATAACAGTAAAAAGTAGGAAAATTGAATGCTATGAGGCACAAATCATCCAACTGAAGCAAAATCAACTATTCCAGTCAGACCAGAGGTGATTCTATCAAAGTGGCAATAGGAATTCTAAAAATGGAAAACAAAGGAAAAGTGAAACAATCCAGTTTTGGAAAGATCTATGGGAAACTCAAAAAGATTATAATAAAAATGCTGGATGGATAAAATAATTTGAATATAAACTTAGTAAAAATCAAATGGCAGAACTAATAATAATAGTAGAAAGGATTACAGTGAAACCAGTGAAAAAGATTTAAAAGTGGACCTCTCCTGAAATGATTAATTAATTGCATGGCTTTTGGGTCAAATATCTGCTTAGCTTACATCCAATTATTAGCTTAATAAGTATTGCATAGAAAAGACATCAGCATCTGGTTAATAAATGCAAAAATTTAGATACGTTTTGAAAAATATCCCAGCAAAGGGAACAAACTCAGGAACCATAGGCTGATAATATGATTGCTTACAATGTTTAAATTACTCACTAGCATAACAGTGGGCAACGGTGGGCAACATACAAGATTATTTGCAATAAAATTATTTTACTTAATATTTAAACTTAGCAAACCATAAACAAGTAAAATGGAAAAGCAATCTATATAAATTCCTATTTGTAAGCTTTCAAAAGACAACTAATTCAGCTGTTGTGAATTAAAACAAATGCTAGATATGTAACTGTTTACACTAACTGAGAAAAGAAGTCTTACATTCATAACTTCTGGGTCCAGTGGTGAACAAAGCTTGTAGTCCTGAATTCTTGTCTAAACTAAACAATTGTCTACATGATTAATTTCATTACCTCCATTTCTCCCATTCAAAGTGACAGAACCATATTATTATTATTAATATCGGTTTTCTACTACACATTCTCATATACATTGAACTAGAACAAAAAAATTATCTTCAGTATATTTAGAGCTGATTGTGTTTTAACCCTCTACAAGTCTTTGGAGATAAAATATCTTTGTTCACTTGGACCCTAACAGAGAATCTAAATATTAAATAGCACAATTTTTTTTTAAAGGTTGTATATTTGAACACAAAAACAATAGTGGCTAGAACTGGCTAGTAGACCGAGATAAAATAATGGAACATTAGAATCTTAATCTTTGTTATTTTAATTCATTTCTGAATAATTATTGCAAAATTAAATGTTTGAAAAGTGCAATGAATCATTTAAAAAGTACTATTTATAAATATGAATGGCATATTTATTATGATTTATTACTACACACATTAGTACGTCATCTTAAAATCCTTACTCCTTTTGTTTTCTGGTGAAGGAGGAGTTGAAAAACAAGAAAGTTCACTTTTTGTTCCTGCCTCAGCTTATTTTCCAGTTAGCTGGAAAGTCAGAATTGAATACTTCTGTGGGCTTTCCCCTTCTTTTTATGTAACATGTTATGACATATATCTCCTACAATTAAATCAAAGAAACAAAAAAACTTCATATTAACACTACAAACTTCAAATGATGAAGCGTTGAACCACAAGTACTGCTACATAAACAAATTATCAGAATTTTAGCTAAATGTGTTCCATAGTCTTCTTTTAATGCTCTTCTGCACAGTGATTTCCTATCTCTTTCAGGATCTGAATCAATTTAGTTTTCATTTAATCTAAACTGGCAAACAATCAATTTTCTCTTTGAAAAATTAAAAATAAGTGTTTGATAATGAGAATAGGAAAGAGTCAATACAAAGCCTAACATTCATTTACATTTTATTTTTCTTACTTTCCAATTCTTGTTCCATTTTTTGCGAGGGAAATTTGGGCTTCAAAAAATCAGTTGTCAGGTAGAGGACCTGTCCATCTCACAATACATCCCAGCTAGTCACTGGTGAACTAATAAATAGTAAACAAATAGCCACAGATGCACAGAAGGCATCACTGCATGTATTCAAAGAACACCTCCCACTAGTTCTATACTTTATTTTCAGCAAAATATCTACAGAGCTGTTGTTTATTGTTGCATGTGATTTATATTCAAGGTAGTGCTCACAGAAAACTGTTTTTTCAACAGCATTCAAATTATATACTTTATTCCTGAAAAAAATATAACAATTCTCTCCTCTAGTCTAGGGCTTTTACTGCTATCATGATTAGTATGAAAAAAAATTATTGAATGAGTCTTATAAACAACCCTTTGTTTATGTCCACATCAATAATTATATCCAAAGTTATGCAAGTAGCTTTCTGTTAATGTAGACTTGCTACCTCAAAACCTTCTCTGTGTAACCCCCACCAAGCTTTATTCAAGGCTATTGCTGGAAAATCTAAAACCACACACTTTTCTTTTAGGACTGATGGATAAATAACTGGGGAAAATGTAATTTAGATTATAGAAATATGTAAGTAATAGTCTAACCACAGGAGGAGGAGGAGGAGGAGGAGGAGGAGGAGGACCAGAAGAAAAGTGAGTGGATTCAGTTGCAATGGCAATAAATGTACCATTAGAAAATGGGAGAGATTGTCATGGAGAAAATCTAGCTATGTGGTCACTAAAAGTTAATAACTTGATGACATATAATCCATCCATCCATCAATAAATTATTTTATCATATCATAACCTCTGTATCATGTATAGCCCATTTATTTAATAGCAAGATTTAATTTATTTTTCATTATAGTGGTATTATATTAGTACAGTTTGTAATACTAATCTAAAAAAAATAAAAGATAATCCAGACAGGCATATATAGAAAGTTATTTATGTAGTTCCCATAGAATATTTTATTTATGTCCAGTATTAAAAAGCTGGAATGGAACATTTTTTTAATCCGTACCATGTTGGATTTACTTCATTTTAAAATTATAATAACAAATTGCATTTAATAATTTTGTACCTTTTTTCCAGTGGAAAAATAGAGATTGTATGTATTTAGAGGTATGCTATTATTTAGAGTGGCAAGTTTATAAGTATATAAATAACGTTACTTTTACAATTATTTGGTAAAAGTTTTCTGAATTCACTATCAGCTCCTGGTGACTACATGGAAACATTTGTACTGATTTCTTTACAAAGTATGGGTATTTCTAGAGTGTTATTTCTTTTCAGATTTCCAGAAGGTCTCCAGAATTGACCATTTACTTCCAATGTTTCATAAGCACTGAAACCCCAATGACAATTATTGTTTTTATTTTACTTTTAACTTCAATACTTCATCCTATTACACTAAGTTTTTACTTTTTTCTATAGATTGCTTCTGATTGCACACATATACAAACGTTGTCTTTTATACTTACTCTTCCATATCTGTTAGCATATGATCCTGTGAGAAGTGAATGGAAAACGATGATTGTCTCATCCAAATCCCAAATGAATACTCTCTATAAAAATAAAATCAAAATATTTATACTTGTCATGTTTTATAAAGTTGGTAACTATAGTAGACTTACCTAAATGAATTGTTCTGAAAGTTGTACTTATTATAAGCTTATCTATTTTTTATTCAATTTCAGACCAATGTCCATACTATAATATGTCAACAATAATGACATAATGCAAAACTTCTCAAGATTTAAAATGGATGGTTGCTTATTAAAACAGCCATATCTTTTTCATGTTTATGCAAAGTTTTAAAAATAATTCAGATACTGGGATATGCTAAGCTCGTGTTCCTCTGCTTTTCAAAATATATCTTCCAAATCATTTCTGAAGTAAGGATATCTTTAGTCCATACACATAACTGTCATAAAATTAGTTCAAGCTAGATCCAAATATTTATAGCAATAAGGGTAGATTCAATTAATTGTTGAATGTTATAAATTCAAACACAAATTAGACCATAAAAGTTGCTTTTCACATGGAAACCCACACTCTTAGTTCATTAGTTGTTCGTTCTATCCATAAACACAATCAACTTACTAGAACATTAATTGTAATTTAAGTTATTTCTTTTTAAAAAGTGATATTCAAGGTTTGAACTGAACTATATTATATATACCGTATTTTCCGACGTATAAGACGACCCCCAACTTTTCCAGTTAAAATATAGAGTTTGAGTGAGAGAGAGGGGGGGGGAGAGAAAACTTGATGAGTAATTCATCTTTGCTTTCCTTACCAACTCTCTCTAACGCTGCTAAAAAGGATAAATCAATATACAAATAAATAGCTACTTCGCATCCAATACCTCTAGGTCAGAGTCAGGTGGTGGTGAAGGATTGTTATTCCTTCTGCCTCGGCCACGTGATTTGCCATCTGAGCTGCGACGCAACCTATCTGCCTCTGAATCTTTAATTGGTGTTGTAGGAATTGTACTATATTCTGCTGAAAAAGAGAAGAGAAAATTGCTCATATTTTAATTCAATTGTAGCTTTCTGAACTTCATTATTTTAAGTAAGCTACACAGATTTGGCCAATCTTGTGTATACTGTAGCATTCATCTTGTGTTAATATTAGCATACCTGGGAGATCTCTTTCTAATCTTATCCACAACAATCAATAGATAATAGAAGTTTACTTTTTGTCTATTATCAAATGCTTTTTGCTTAAAAAAATGACTTCCAATTTTTAAGAACCCAAAATATGTTCCAGTTAAGAATGTCTAAATTTCGGTGATATCAATTAAATATACTTTTTTGTTCCCCATTTTTTTAAACTTATCACCATAAAAACTTTTACTTTAAGTTGGGCTAGTGATGAATAAGGTGTAGCAATTTTTATAGAGACAAAAAATAAATTTTGGTTGTTTGTTGGAGAGATTTGAAGATCCTTCCAATTATTTTTTTTCTGAAAAAAATCAGAGTGGTGTTTTTCAGTAGCCAAAAGAACTGTCCTTTGTACAAAGGAAATTTGGGACAGAATTTGGTTTCACTGCTTATGAAAATAAATAGTTAGCACATGTGCGGCTAATTTTACATTCTTACTCATGGCTTAAACTCATGATCAATTTTAACTATATTATAGGGTTAGTAAAAATAATACGAATTAAGCATTTCCATAGAGATTTTTCAGGAAGGTCAAGGTTCATAATATGATAGACTTGCAATAATAGTTTCAGTTTACCTTTGCATAATTAATTCAATTTCTTCAAGAAATATATATATTTCCCTTATATTTAATCAGAATTGTTTTCAAGAGTTCTTTCCTATAAGGATCCTTCCTCAATCTATTGCATTTAGAACCCATAATCAATCTATCGTGAAGTAGGAATACTTTCCTTTGGGAAGAGGAGACAAAAGTCTCTCATAGTTTTATGACAATGTTCAGCTACTTGATAACTTTCTAAGAGAAGAATACTAGTTCAGTATCTTAACTCGGCTTAGTGCATGAAGCTCTTATCTGACTATGCCAACTCTTACTTATGCAATGTCTCTAATTCTAATCATACACAAGCACATTCAGTCACCGAAATCAATGAAACGAATTTTCAAACGTTTCCTTATCACATCTGCTAGTCAGAACAACATTTCTTCAGAGAGATATAATCTGGGTATGTCATCTAAGTCCTGACCTTAGTACAAGCATAATAAAAACTGGGAATAGAGAAACAAGGTGTTCAACACGTTGAGCTCTCTATGGACAAGTTGTTTTGGGATTGTGCCTTAGGTGTACTATCTTTTCTTTAGTACATAGAACAAAGGATAATAGGGTTGGAAGGGATCTTGGAGGACTTCTAGTCCAACCCCTTGCCACAGCCATTCTACTTCTATTTGCAATCTTTGCAATTTTGTGATTTTCTCCAGTTCTTTCTCTTCTCATCTGTTATCTCCATGAGAACAAATAAAAATAATAATCTTTTGAGCCTAACTTGTTGGAATTAAATTTACTTTAAAGTTATACATATTCTAGTTTGAAATTTTGGTTGTGCTTGTAGTTCCCTAAATAGAGCAGCCAGAAATACAATTCTACATCTCTTTCCTCTCTGCCCGCACCAGGAAAACCTGAACGTAATGTTTTGTGGCCAAAGATTGCTTTTCTCAAAAATGTCTTGTTCTGGAACTATTTTTATGAGCTTATTCAAAACAAATCTCTCTGGGTTTGTTTAAGCATACTCACATACAGTATAAGCAGCTACAAAACTGCACTCTTAGCCCAGCACCTAAAATAGTTTAGGTAAGGAAGCCAGACTCTTTAAATACTATTCCTCATCTTGCAATTTTTATTACTGCAAACTTTGACTATTTTACAAGAACTGTAGCAAATCATGCACCTGAAAATTCATTGCTATACAATTTACCTTCAACCCATCTTTTCAGTACTGACAAAACAATAACATAAATTTCTATCTTTATGCATCCAATATGTTTATTGAGACAATAAAATAAAGCAATTACCTGCTGTAGGATCTGTTACAGCTTGATTTGTGATGCCAGTTGGTGGTTCTTGAAGTTGGTAAGTTGCATTGGAGGAAGGAGTTGTTGGGCTGGTGTTGCTGCTTGCCATATAATGTGAGGGATATGGAGAGCTATTATAATACTGTGCATATTGACCCTGGCCAAAGGTGGGATAAGATGGATATTCCTATCAGAGGCAAGAGAATGCTGAATTACACTTTCCATCAGCATGCAGTTACATTTTATTTACTTCTAATATAAATTCAAATTCTGTATGCATTTTCTGTTACCTTAGCTTTAAATAAATTTTGTTCTTACTTTATTTTTAAAGAGCAGATAATTATAGAAATTGTTTCTACAAAAATTGAACTACTGTAAATTCAAAAAATGAAAGTTATACACTGAATTTTAAAAAGCTTTAAAATTCTGTTACTAAAATGAAAGTAAACTCCAAAGTTCTAGATAATTTCAAATTGTCTTTTTCTGAGTGAAGTACAGGTAGTCCTTGACTTACACCCGTTCATTTAGTAACCTTTCAAAGTTACAATGACACTGAAAAAAAGTAACTTATGACTATTTTCACACTTAAAACAGTTGGAGCATCCCCTTGTGATCAAAATTCAGGTACTTGGCAACTGACTCACATTTATGACTGTTGCAGTGTTGCAGGGTCACATGATCTACTTTTGCAACCTTCTGACCAGCAAAGTTAATGGAGAAACCAGATTCATTTAACAACCATGTTATTAACTTAATACCTTCTTAACACCTGACTTAACAACTGTCTCACCTAGCAAAAGAAATTTGGGACTCAATTGATGTTGTATGTTGAAAACTACCTGTATTTCCTTTATAATCTTTTTAAAAAGGTAGTTCTGGCACCCTTTCATGATGGAAAGTGATATAAGGAGAGCTATTCCATTAGCACACAATATCAACTTTTTCAGGTACTTCCTCTCCCTTTATGCAGCTGACCATTATGTAACAACTACTACTACATTGATAAAGGAGAATATTTATAGCTGAGGGTTGAAATGAGAGATCCTTGGTGCTCTCAGAGCTTAGTTGTGCTCACTGATGATGTACCTAGTGTTGGTAATGTAATGTCTACAAGAAAATACCAAGCTCAGAGAACACGAAGAACCCTCACTACTACTAGTAGTTCTATGCATAGAATGACTTATACATTCTCAAATACGTGTCAAACTAAAAGGAAATACATAATAGTGTCGAAGATAATTGAGGAAAAAGAATAATGGTTGCTATAAGAATATCAACATAGCAAGTTTGTACATAAAACCGGTATAAATGACAAAATTTTAAATTATGCCCATGATTTCTTTTTGAGTGGTAGTACAACTTGTTTAACCTGTATATTTAACCTGCATCCATTATACGTTATTGGAAGAATATTTTTACTGCATCCTTATAAAAAGGAAATGCAACAAAAATAAATACAAAAACATACATAATATTTAGTTAGTTACAGTAAGTGTGCTTTAGAAGGTGTTGTATATTGATTATGAGTTCTAGAAGTGACAGTGAGCAAAATCCTGGAAATTCAATTAGGTTTTATGCTGGGCATGAAATGCGTAGACTAGATATTTACTGTTCAAGTACAACATTCAGAAATGTACAAAGGTACATTTATTTCATTGAGTCTCTCTCTCTCTCTCTCTCTCTCTCTCTCTCTCTCTCTCTCTCTCTCTCTCTCTCTCTGTGTGTGTGTGTGTGTGTGTGTGATTATTCTAAATACCTAAATCCCAGGTGTAAACATTTTTTAAAAATCAATAAAATTAGTGAACTCCGGGATATAAAATAGCCTTTTTTATTACTGAGCTTTTGTCAACTTGCTGTTGACATCATCAGAGTAAGGGCTGAAGATTGGAAGAGCTTACAAATACGCTTGTGTGACCATTTTAACGGTCAGGTCATAGAACGTATGGTCAGCACGCCCGCCACCCGCTCACCCACATTTAGCCTCACTAGTTCCGGCTTTGATGTAAAAGCTGGTCTCGATCTGAAATTTGAAAAATCCTTCCTCACAGCTGTTCGGCGCGTCAGTCTCGCTGCACTGCGCGAAGCCGCACGTCAGTTGTTAGTGTCCTCATGACGCGACCAGGCAGATTACACGTCTCATGAGGACACTAACAACTGATGTGCGGCTTCGCGCAGTGCAGCGAGACTGACGCGCCAAACAGCTGTGAGGAGGGATTTTTCAAATTTCAGACCGAGACCGGCTTTTACATCAAAGCCGGAACTAGTGAGGCTAAATGTGGGTGAGCAGGTGGCGGGCGTGCTGACCATACGTTCTATGACCTGACCATTAAAACGGTCACACACACACAAGCTCTTCCAATCTTCAGCCCTTACTCTGATGATGTCAACAGCAAGTTGACGAAAACTCAGTAATAAAAAAAAGCTATTTTATATCCCGAAATACACTAATTTTATTGTTTTTTAATACACACACACACACAATATACATATACATACTTGAGCAGGGCTTTTCATTGGCACCTGGCAGGTGGTACGCAGCCATGCCCAGCTTAGCCAAGTGTAGCAGGAGAGGGAACAAGCCAAAGCGGCGCAGCACAGGACTTGCCATGAGAGAGTCCTCGGGACGAGGCAAAAGCCCCAGGATCGGCACTTCCGGCACACTCGGAAGAGAAAGGAGGAGGAGGGGGCAGAGACAGCAAGGGATATAAAAGGGATGGATGGATGGATGGATGGATGGAAGGAAGGAAGGAAGGTACAATGGAAGGGAGGAAAGGAAGGAAGGAAGGAAGGAAGGAAGGAAGGAAGGATGGGACAATGAGAGGGAAGGAAGGAAGAAAGAGACAATGGGAGGAAGGGAGGGAAGGAAGGAAAGGACAATGAGAGGCAGGGAAGGAAGAAACAGACAATGGGAGGGAAGGGAGGATGGGACAATGGGAGGGAGGGAGGAAAGGAAGGGTCCCCCCTGCACCAGAGACCCCAGGATCCCCTCCACAGCCCCGCCCGCACCCCCCCCACAGGCGCTCTGCGACCTGAGTGACGTTGAGCTAGCCACGCCTCCCGGCCATTGACTTCACTTGTCAAGGTGTAAAAAGTGATCACCTGACCCTGGGACGCTGTGATCATCATAAGTATGAATCAGTTGCCAAGCATCCAAATGTAAATCACATAACCCTGGGATACTACAACAGTCATAAGTGTGAAAAATGGTCATAAATCACTTTTTTAAATGCCATTGTAACTTTGAACAGTCACTAAGTAAACTGTTGTAAGTCGAGAACTACTTGTACTTTATCAGTTTTTCCCTTTTTTTGGTCATCAAGTTTTTGATACCTTGCTAGTGGTGGTACTCGAATATTGCCATATCCTAAAAATGGTACAATTTGTGAAAAGGTTGAAAATCCTTGTACTAGAATAAATAGGCTTTAATTATGGAGTATTTTGAATGAACATACAAGCTGAAAGCTGATTGCCAAAAGCAGTGATGAGGTATATAATAGAAATGAAGGAAGTGTAAGAATAAATAAAATGATTCAATTTAAATAAAAAGTGAGTTTGATTTATGTATGTTGGTAGTTTATATTTGGATAAATCTATAAGGTACTGTGGCAACATTAGACTAATGTGGATTAAATACAAAAGTGAATGATTCATACGAAGAAAATACACTGAAATGGTTTGATCACAGAGAAACTAGATAAAGATCAAATCAAAATGGCAAGCAAGAGTAAGTGGGTCAAGAAGAAAAGTTGTAGTTACTGATATTGATGTGATCTTGAAAAAGAGACAGGCAAACTTTTAAAGAACAAAAGGCAATTTAGGAAATGGGATAAGATCACAGTGGAAGCAAATAGGTTTTGTAAGGATATTAATATATGGGAAGTATATCAAATAATGTGTAAATTATATTTAGCTATAATCAGTGTTTTTTTTCTAAAAAAAAAAAAAAAAGGTGCTGGAACTCACACACATCATACAACCTGCCTTGCCTACCCTACAAGGTTCCATCCCAAAAAGGTGCCGGAACTCCGTTCTGGGCGTTCTATGAGAAAAAAAGCCCTGGCTATAATTCCTTTTATCTAATGCTTGTCTTTAATTTTTTTGGCTTGTAGTGTCTTGCTCATTACTATGCTTTGCATGAGTATGTATGTATGTGTAAGAAAAAGATTAGGCGTGTAAACACTTTGAAAATAATCAGAAATCTTCAGACCTCATCCAACCATACCACTTCCCTGGCATTAATTAAAGCAACCCAATTACTTCTACTGCTCATTAAGTTAAGGCAACTCCTAATGTAATGGTATTTTCTTTATGGTTTGCATGGAAGCCTTAAAAAACTTGAGCTACTTCATTGAATGGCAGGGAGATGCTATGCTCGTGCTTGCAAGACATCCAAAACACTTTTCCCCCACAATCCTACCAAGTGTTCCTTTTTATGCTTTTCTCTTTCCATTGCATATTATTTTTGTGTCATGTTTTTTAAGATTATAAACAATGGGCAGGAAGTCAATGTTCATTCTTTCAGGAAAGGTACACTGAGACTTCAATGAAAACCGAGAAAAATATTTCAAATAACTTCACCTCTCATATTTACCTGCTGCGAACCATTGAATCCAGTAGAATTTGTAAGTGAATTATTTCCAGCATATATTCCAGATGATGTTGTGAAACTGCTTCCTGAAATAAAACATTGAAGAGAAAGTATATAAATCTTTAGTATAACTACATTCAGTCAGATTAAAACATGCTGAACAGGGATCTATGACACATTTTGAATTTGAAATGTTCTGTTTCAAGATTGAAGAATAATCTCAAGATTAACATAGTTGTTCCAACCTTAATGGAAGTGTTGCAGTGCTGTTTTAACAACTCCATTTTGTGCTCAACATATTAGCCCCATTTGAACTCAAAATACCAGTTGCAAATCAAAAACAGAGCTGTTCAAAGCTCAGAATAGTAAGATGACGACAAACTGTTCTGAACTCAAGACAAAAAAATTAAGTTTAAAATACTTTGAATTCAAAATATAGTGCCATATTCCTAATATTTAGTTCAACATTCTGTTTCCATAGTGGCTAACCAAGGACAGGACATAAATGAAAAAGTATCCCTTTCTTGCTTTTCCCACAGCTGGTAGTCAAATGACAGAAGTCTGTCTCTCCCTCTCCCTCTCCCCCCCCCCTCTCTCTC